TTTGCAGACACCTGCAAGGCTCCACCCATCTCTAAGATCAATGATTTTCACTCTTGACCCTCAAATCTGCAAAGAGGTCTCAGAGCTCACTAGCCCCAGCCACTAGCCCCATGAATGGGATGCCATTCACAGATGAGGACCTTGCATAACCGGAAATAATCTTCCTATCCCAAGGATGGAAATAGTGAGAAGCTGAGCTAAGATCCAAGCCAGAGGATTCTTCCAGTTTCTATTGTCTAGGCCTCCCTCCTGGGCAATTTGGAACATCATTTTTTTCCAGAGGACAAACTGCTTTTTTGTTCTTCTTCACCAAGATGAAGGAGAGTAACCTAAGACACAAAGCAAGAACACACAAAATCCAGCTGCTATCGGACTGAGGCTTTGTGAAGTAAACTTGTTTCCCCATCCCTGCTGAAACTCTGGGGCCTGCGAGGATACAGAAGTCAATTTTATCTTGCCTCTTCAGAGTGCATCCCACTGCAAATCACCTGTACTTATGCTAGAGCTTGGGCCATGTGTGTTCCCAAACGTGTGCTGTCCCCGGGGGTCTGTGTGCTTTGACCATAAAAAGGCTCTGTTATTTCTCCTGCTCAAAGGTTTCAGGATGAATGTCTTGTAGCATGATACATCAATATCAAAAGGGATCATGTAACCCTGGTCAGTGGCCTATGAAGAGATTTCCTTTACAAGTAAGGCAAACTAATAAACCATTGTTGAAGACATAGATGTTCTTCCGCACTCAAATTCCTAGGCTCTCCTTAAAATAGGCTTCAAAGCTCACATTTATTTGTTTCCAAGGTACCCATATTTTAGGTTTTGTAAGGCCTCTTTTGAGGAAAAAAAGTCTGCAAAGTTCTTAAGCCCAGGCTTGCGGATTTGTTCTACTGCTAAATTTTTTTTAAGGTTCTTTGCCCTAGTAACACACTAAGGAAACAGAGAACTCCTGTCAACATCAAATCAGGTTATTTAACAAACTGAAATTACACCCGCCACGTACCAGGCATGATCACAGGGACTGTCTGTACATTAGGTGATGCAATCCCCCAACAGCCCTCAACTAACTCCCTGTACCAGTGGGGAAACTGCCACCCACTAGTACAGAGTTTGAGAGTTGGATTCAAACCTTCAAACCTCAGGAGTCTGACTTCAATTCCACCACGCTCCAAACTACCATGCTCTGTTGCATGGTGGGGCGCAGTGACCAATGTCCAGAGGGCATTGGAATGCAAAAGCCTGAGTGTTGGGTTCTGGTCTCAGCAGCCCTGCAGCACCAGAAGGTGCTCCGGTCCCCTCCCTGGACCCGCCCTCACCTTTGGAGACCAGGTGCACCTGCCCTGGCCTGCTCCCTCCCCTGTGGCTTTCCTGATTTCCTCTGTTTTATTCCACTTACCTTTCATGGCACTCACCACCACATTGGTGCTATTTCATTTTTTTGCTTATGTCGTTTGTCTTGTCAGTCTCTCCTAGATTGTAAACTCCAAAAAAGCAAGGATATGGGGAAGTTTGTCTCTTTTGTTCACTGGTGTCTCTGAAGTACCCAGAACTGTGACTGACAAGTAGTATTTGTTGAGGAGAGAGAGGGAGAGAGAGAGACCACTAGCAGAGGGTCTGTGCTTCCTCTGAAATAAGAGACTAGGCAGTTGACTTCTATGATTTTTCCAGATTTAACGTGCTCTGAGTCTACAAGCCAGCCAAATTGGGATTAATGAAATTCAACCCTAACAGACCCAATTCGCTTACCAATGAAGTCCAAATGTGACCTGCTGGTCAACAGTCCCAAGGGATGTGAGACTGAATCCTACAAAATCTGGGTGAGCTCTACAGCACTCCACAGGGCAGGAGGTGTTATAACCACTGTCACTATGAGTACAGATGACCTGTGACCTGAGACAAGTGTCTGAGTGCCTTCAGCCCAATGGGAGACCATCTTCCCAAGACAGAGTGCCCCAGCTCAGCCATGGGAGCCCACATGAACAAAAGTTCAGCAACCCCCTCCCTGCCTAGCCCTTTCTGTCTCCCCTCCCTGCCTTCTGTAGGAGCCCCAGGTTTAACTTCCAGACCGTGGGACTTCTGAGGACAAGTCTCCCTGAATTTGACCTCCTCTTCCCCAGGACTTGCACAGTCGGATTCAGATACTTATTAATGAGACAAGTTTCCTCGTTTGTATTAACCTGGGAGCTTGTGAAGCAGGCTGACCCGGCAAAATACTTGCCTGTATGGAAACCTAGTGTCTTCCTCTTTCCTCTGCTGGCAAAGACCCTGTCATCCTGTCAGTCGCTGGGCCAGGGCTGAGTTAGAAGCAAATGAAAGTCATACCTCCCTCAAGGGAGCCATGATGTAGGACTCAAGAGCAGTAGGGCAGCCTTTCTGTTTCCAGAGGTGATCTAAGTGCACAGGGACTAAGAGCTAGGACAGTGTGAAGGAGGGTGGGGAAAGGTGTACCCAGGGTATGGGGAAAGCTTCCTGAAGGAGATGACACTGGGTTTGCCATTCAAAATTGAGAAGGATTTCAGTCAACAGAAATCAGACAACCCAGGGGGAAGTCTGGTACGGCAGGAATGAAGAGCACATGTGAAGGCTGAAGGAGTGGCTCAAGTGGTAGAGCACCTGCTTAGCCAGCATGAGGTCCAGAGTTCAAACCCCAGTACCACCAAAAAAAAAAAGGTGTGTGAGAGGCTGTGGGCGATGGAGCTGGTAAGCCTAGGTGAGGCACTGCCCTGCCAGGCTGAAGTGGAGGGACTTCATCGCAGGGAATTATGCAGTTGGCTATTTAGAAGGAAAGTAACATGGAAGAGTGAGTCAGAGGATTGGAGGTTACCATGAGAGCCTGGAGAAGACCAATGGCCTTTACCAGAGTAGACCCCATGCCTGTTCTAGGTTATGCAGTTCCTTCCAGGGAGGCCCACCCCCTTGGGTAATGAAGCAACTTACCAGGGTCTTCTCTACACCCCATCGAAGCTCTCTGACTTATCTTAGGGTGCAATCTCTCAGTCTCACAACTGCTTTGGAATGGCAGGGAGGGTTCTCATGTTATTGGAATGACTATTCTTGTCACAATTGTTCTATAAAATAATCACATATCACATATATCTATCCACCCATTACATATATGTAACCATCTATTTAATAATGGCAGAGCTAAAGCAGAAATACTTGCCCTCGGCTGGTTCAGGAAAGCCAAATGTGTGATTTTTCCCTTGAGTCTTCATATTTTGGTGCATTTTTATCATACACTTAGTACAGAAGTTTTTCATTATCTGACCTAATGAACATAAAAAAGGTGGTGAAGCTGAGCACAGGTGGCTCACGCCTGTAATCCTAGCTACTCAGGAGGCAGAGGTCAGGTGTATCTTGGTTTTAAGTCAGCCCTGGGCAAATAGTTCGTAAGGCCCTAGCTAAAAAAAAAAAAAAAAATCACGTAAAAGATACTGATGAACTGGGCTCAAGGTGAAGGCCTTGAGTTCAAGCCCCAGTACTACAAAACACACACACACACACACACAATAGGGAAAGGGAAGGAAACAAACAAACAAAAACACAAAAGGCGAACAGTGATAAACAAGAGATCATAAACATTTAGGAGAAAAGCAGGAATGGGCACCAGTGATATAAGAAGGCATGGAATTTGGCTCTGAGCTTCCCAGCAGCCAGAGCAAAAACAGAGCATAGTTGGAATTACACATTCATGCCTTCATTTCTCTGAATAGTTCTCATTTCTTCTTCAACTGCTAGAGTTCTATCTCACCTGACACACTCAGGTGAGACCCCCTTAGGGGAACACAAATAAGGAAATTCCGGTGATTGAGCTAGGCTTCAAGAATCTCAGATGCTCACTTAATGAGGTCATTTAACTTTCTTTTGCTGAATGCTTAGTGATTTGGGGCCTGTAAAATGCAAATGGAGAGGGCAGGAAGTTCTTTTGAATAGTTAAAAAAGAACTTTCCAAAAGGGTTCATTATTTCCTAGTCTGGGGATGGGAGTAGGTAGGAATTAAGCATTTCAAGAGTGTCAGAAAGATTTATGTGGTAGCACCACTGACCTCACAGCTCAGGGCAGGGCATGTGGCCCTGAACCAGGATAAACAAGCCTTTATGAAACGGCCAGGGATCTCCCATCTCAGCCCCTGACAGTGTGACCAGGTAAGCAAGGTCTCATCCCTGGGCCTCCATTTTCTCCAGTAAAGCAGTTTTTTCCGCTTACAGGCTCTAAAAATCTGCTACCCAAGAGAAATCACTCTGTAAACTTTGAAATGGAGGACCAGGGCAACTCAGAAACTTCTCCCCAGAAGAATGAATTACATCTCCTCTTAGAATTTTGTTTTTTCTAGCAGTCAAGTGGCCAAAAGACTCCATGACAGTAATGGGGAGAACTGTGTATGGCATCCAGCCTGCACAAGGCCCCTGATACATAGCTGTCATGTTCTTTGGTGAATCAGATTGGGAATTCATGGAAGGGAACTTTATTCTGTTATAAGGCTTGGCGTAGAAACTTCTGTTCTGATCAAGTCTTTTGAGGGTGAATTCTCAGAGTCTAAGTAAGTATGTTCTGAAGACACCAAAATTTAAAACTGCCTGCCAGGCAGTGGCTCACACACCTGTAATCCTAGACACTCAGAAGGCAGAGATCAGAAGGACTGCAGTTCAAAGACAGCAGGGGGAACTGTATTTTTCCAAATAGCCTTGAAAAACCCATCACAAAAAAGTGCTGGTGGAGTGACTCAAGGTGTAGGCCCTGAGTTCAAACCCTGGTACTGCAAAAAAAAAAAAAAAAAAAGTTCTAGCAATGGAACACTTCATCAAATTGTTTTTCTTACTCTATAGAGGGATTGCTACATAATTCAGATTATTCCTACAAAAGGGCCATCATGAGAGCACCTTGGAGGACCCTAGCCTCCCCAGATTCACAAGGACCCCTCCCCAATCAGGATTATACAAATGTAAAAAGTGTGTCTGTAGAAACTACTGAGCCAGTGCTATCAAGGAAAACATTAAATTGCATCATTTAATTGCTATTTATTTTCATAAACATGAGGTATTTCAAAGTGCTATAAGATGCAGCACTAAATATATACATTTTGAAGAAATTAAACACAGAACTTTGCATTTACCCAGTTCTATGCACCAAACATGAACAAATACATTAACAGGAAGAAAACAGGCTAGGAAAAAGGCATATATATAGTAAATTTCTTTACAAAAGTTTCTTAGTTCAAAAAGTGATAAAGTAATATCTACTCAAAACTTTCACAACTCATTTTCATACGAAAATATAAGTATCAAATTTAGTTATGTATCAGCATCATACTAAAGTATACAGGCAGTGTAGGAATTAGTACAGTACATAACAGAGATTAACAATATATCTGTATACAGACATGCTCCTCAAACATTGAGGTATCATTACAGTACTTAGGTGTGAATGTCCAGTCTAATACTGGCCACAAGAGCCACCTCTTCCATTCATTACCCAGGACGTATGCAAAAGGCGGGTGTGTCAATGGTATTTACAGAAATGTTCCCAGGGGCATCAAATGGCAAAGCCCCTTAAGTGGCTGGCATCCGCTCGAACTTAAGCACCATTGGAAAAAGGAATGACTCTCCAGTTGTTTGGAAACTCCCAACACGAACAAGGTGACTTCCCCAGCCCCAGAGGCTCTCAATGGTCACAAACTTCCACAGCTGTCACAGGAGACGAAGTGGAGAAGCCACCCATCATGAGGCTCTCTCCAAGCTCCTGGCAGAACCCCCTACCCAGATCCAAACTCCACAGGGGACCGATTGGAAAAGTAAACCAACATTCTTAATGTCAACACAATGTTTAAAAAAAAAAAAAAATCAAAATGTGCAAAGTGGCAGTGACTGTCCATTTGGGAAACGTTTAGCAAGTCCGAGCGTGTTCGATCCTTTTTAACAACTGCTGTTGTCTGGCCTGCAGTTTTTCCTTTTCCAGCAGAAGCTGCTGCTCCTCGGCCTGCAGCGCGTGCACGTACTCGGTGGCCTTTTTCAAGATGACCACCTTGGCGGCCTTCTCGTTTTTCACCAGCTCGGGCACGTGGTCCCTGAGCGTGAGGAAGCTGGACCGCAGGTCATTGCGGCGCTGGCGCTCCAGAATATTGTGGTTGCGACGACGCTCGCTGTCCTCCGAGTCTGAGTTTCGGGGGCTCAGGCTCTTAGCCTTTGGGGGGATGACGCTCTTGAGGGGACGCGGGGACACCTCACTCTTGATCTTCTTCTGGGGCGGCGCATCCTCGCTCTCCACGTAGGGCGAGGGCGCGGCGTAGTTGTGCTGCTGGTGGATGGGGACGCAGCGTTTGAGGATGAGCTCGCTGGACTGTGCGCGCCCCAGGCCCAGGGCTGCGTTCTTGGGACGCACGGTGATGGTGAACGTGGTGACAGCCTTGTTGTTGGAGGAGGAACGGCGCTTCTCCACGGTGACCACATCAATTTCCTCTTCTTCGTCTTCCTCCTCATCTTCATCATCTTTAGAAAAAACAGAACACAGTGGATACTCTCAGGCATGTCTATGGAACATGTGGGAACATTTAATACAGACACGGTAATTCCTTTTCCTTCCCGAGACCCCTCGTGTACTTTCAGTTTCCATTCAAGACTTAAGCCAAGTGGTACTGGATGCACACCTCAGTGGCAGAGCACTTGCCTAGCATGTGAGACCCTGGGTTCAGTTCCATGTTGGAAAAAAACCCAAAAATACATTAGCGGGTGGCAAAAATATGAAGAAAATAAGCCTGGGATCAGGAAGAATCCTGGCTGGGAGTAGTTACTAGATCTTGGACAAGGTACAAGGTACCTAACTTCTTTAAGCCTCAGTTTTCCCAGCTATCCAATGGGGATAATAGCTGGTGTTTGACTTTGGGAGATAATATGTATGTAGGCTTAGCCCAGGGCTGGGCCTAGCACATAGATACTCAATAATGGAGCTCTTCGCGTAATCACCAATCTATTCACCAGCAGACCCCGTGGACATAGGCACATTCTCAATTCCACACTTCAGACTGGACGTCCCTCATTTAGGATTCTCATTTGGCCAAACCCGTAGCTATGTTTGATTTTCATCTTTAAACCAAACAATTTAATTAACTCAGAGAAATAACTCTTCTTCCATGCACGTTAGTTCTATGCAGTAAGCAGTTTTTCATCTGCCAGAGATCACAGCTCAACGACAAAGCCCTAATCCACAGTAGCTACCCCCCCATGGGAGCTGCTCCTAAGCCACCAAGAACAGCAACAACAAAAACGTGTAGCATCTTGTGTGCAGGTTCCCTTTCTTCTCATTTACTACCACACCAGGGCAGAAAATTATTGCTTAAAATGCAAGCATGAAAATCAAAACACATCTTCTGCTTGATCTGATGGGGACCGGAAAGCTGAACAATTGTGGGATTTGTTCTAAAGCTGAAATGTGAGGCTGTTCCAGTCTGTGGGTCCCTTTAAGCCAGTGTTTTGGTTTTCTGCCAAGAAGACAGCTGTTGGAAGGAAGTGCTTCCTCACCAAAAGCTGTCAAGGCACAGACATTAAAGGGACAGAGCCATTTCAAACTGCAAGCTTATCACCAAGTTCCCTTCCAGGAGCCTCAGAAGGATCTGTCCTCAGCCCTGGAGAAAATTTAAGTCGTATATTCATTTGCATTGTAGTACACAGCTTTTCAAGGTCTGAGGGGGCCCCAGCTCCAAGGACAAGGGCTATTCCGTTTTTAGGTATATTTAAGTACCTCCAGAGCCCCTGGCAAAGGCGTGGTTGTTTGTTTGTTTGAGCCGTTCTCTACCACTTAAGACACAGATAAATGCATACAATAGACCTAATCAATGAGTCCTTCCAGGATCTGTGCATTCCAGAAGGGGCTGGGAAGTGCCCGCCCACACCTTCAAGGTTACACAGCTCAGTTCAGACACCAACTAGGTCTGGAATTCCAGTTAGGAGACAAAACTGTACTCCCGACCAGTGCACACCGGAAGGAGGAGGCCCCTCGAATGTACACAACCGCTGCTGCACTTGCTGCCAGCTGCTCAATGGGAGGGAGGGGTGTCCACACCACCCCCAGCCTTTCAGATCCTTGGCCTGCCAGTTGGCCAGGCACATCGCCGCCTGCTGGCCACGCACCAGGAGCAAATGGTCCACCACCCACGGAGGGTGGGGGAGGGGTCGTACGGTCTTTTGAGAGAGTAAAAAAAAAAAAAAAGCAAAGCCGTACCAGCCACCTAGCCAGTCTCCAACTTCTTGCCTTGGATAGGATTCTGCTCTGCCCTAGTGTCTCTTCGAGTCTCTCTCTCCTGCCCTGTCCTGACACAGAGTCCCTTTACAACCCTGGTGCTAACAGGTTTCTGCTCAGGCAGTACACCCAGTAGCTCTCTAACCCCACACCCGGACTAACCACCAACTTTTCCCAAGGTAGGGACGGGGAGAAGGCCCATGCTGGCCTAGGGCAAGGCTCCCCGAGGAGGACTTAAGAAACTTTGGGCAAGCCAGGGAGAGGCTTGGAGGGAAACGGGACCCCGACCACCAGCATTGCTACTCCCTGGAGTCAAACCACCAACGCTAACAAAGGGAGCGCGACCCCCAACTCCAGTAACCCAAGGAGGTGGTGGGACCTGGCCCAGGGCTTTACCTGAGTCGCTCAGGGTGTCCTCTCCGGAGGTGCTGAGGGCCTTGTGGTCACCACCGCTAGCCGGGCGGCCGCCTGCGCGTGGAGGGGCAGCCACCGGGGTAGCGGCCGGGGCGGTGGCACCGGTTACAGCAGGGCCGGCCGCAGGGTTACCGGCAGGAGAGACAGGCACGGGCGGCGGCTCGCGCTTGTTCACCGGGAAGGGGAAGACCACGGCGGGGTCCACGCACTCGGCGGCCGGGTGGGCGAGCTCGGCGGGCAAGGCGGCCCCGGAGCGGCCGGATCCCGCCGTCGCGCCGTGCGCGCGGCCCGCAGGGCTGGTGACGCCCGCTCCTGGGGCCGGGGTGACCGGGGACCCGCGGCCGTGTTGCAGCTTCTCGCTCACGGCGCGCTCCAGCTTTTCGCGGGCGGAGAAGCCGCTCCACATACAGTCCTGCAGGATGACCGGGTTGGGGTGAGGCCGCCCAGTCCCCCCAGACCGAACGCGTCCTCCTCGGCCGGGTCGCCCCACAGGTCGGCCTCGGACAGCAGCATCTCGTTGGCCCAGTTCGAGGGCTCCGGGCTGTGCTCCGGGAAGGCGCGGCTGGGCGACAGCGGGGGCGTGGGCAGCAGCTCAAACTTCTTCCAGATGTCCTCCCCCGGGGGGGTCGAGTCGGGGCCGCCGAAGTAGAAGTCATCTTCGTCCGGGTAGAAGCAGGGCTGCAGAGAGTCAAACTCGAGGTCTGGGTTCTTGCAGATCATTCCCGGCATGGTGGACGCGGTGCAGCTCGGCATCGGCTCGCCCCCGGCCGGCGACTGAGCGCTTCTTTCCGCTCCGCTCTTTTTAATATGGGGGGGTGCTTCCTTCCCGTGGGGGGCGCGAAGGGCGGGGACCCGCGCCAATCTCCAACACTGCAACCGACAGACACACAGGAGAGAATGGGCAAGAGCAGCAGACAGGGGGGGACAGGCAGTGGGCGCTCCCTCTCGCCCCGTCCCCCAATCTCCCCGGCAAGCCCCCCTGTCCGCCCAGGGCTCCTGAAGGTGGAGGAAGTTCGGCCGCTCCCTCCCTCCTTTTGTGTACAAGCTGTCTACTACAGGGGGTGGGAGGGGGCATGCAGATGCAGGGGGTGGCGTGGCCGTGCAACTTTGAAAACTGCCGTTCCATTCACAGCAAGCACCCCTGCTTGGGGGTGGGGGCTGCTAGAGCGGCACGCCGACAGCCCCACGGGCACCACTAGCTGCTCGAGGGAGTCCCGGGTCTCCAGCCCAAGCTACCGGGCACAGGGTTTGGGGTACCCCCAAACCTCCTTTGTAAAAATGCAACCTCTGAAGTGCAGACGACAACGGGGGCGTGAGGAAACTTTGTAAACGCAAAGAACCTTTCTCTAGATAGACCAACAACGGGCACCCAAATCCACGCCCCCCCACCCCAATTTGAGCAGATGTCCTTCAGCATTTACCCTCTGCAGGGATACTACTGCCAATAGCTAATTTTGGACCTATGCACCGTCACCCCCCTCTAGGCCCCCAACGACCACCTCGCCCAGGGGGAGGGGAGGCTGCGCCCCATTCCTAGGAAGGGTGCAGGGGCGCCGGCGCAGGGAGGGTCGCAGGGAGAACCGCGTCTCCTCTGAGCTGGAGCTGCCGTGACCCAGATTACCACCGAGGTAGTGAAGCCCCTCCTAACCCCCTTTCCGTCCTCCAGGGATACCCTTCGGAAAAGAACCCCAGCTTGGGGTGGGGACGCACCGGCTCCCCGTCAGCTCAAACAGGCAAATCTCCTACAGCAGGGCGAATTTCTTTTCGCTGAAGCCATTACTCTCGCCTGCCAAGGGCGGGTCTCTTCCAGCCGGGGTGCCTTCGGGGCTGAACTGGCATTTTAGGGGAAACCCCGAGATGGTTTTGTTTCGGAAACAAACAGTCCCCCAGGCATATTGGGGCGCCCGGCGCGCGAGCCGCGATCCCTTCCAGGGCTTGCCTAGCCGCGGCGCTCCCCGTTCCCGGGCGCCGGGCGGTTTGCAAGCCCGGCTCCTTACCTCCCGCGGACTGCCGGGGATCCGGAGGCGACGCTGAGCTGGGGTCTCCGGGTGGGCTGTGGGGGCGGGGGGTACTCGGGCGGCTGCAGTCTGTGCGCGCTTGCGCCTGGCTAGCGCTCGCTCGGCTCCAACCCAGTTCCCAGGAGCCCCCCGCATCCACCCAGCGCGTCCAGACAGATGACTGTCACTGGCTGCGCTTTGAAGCTTGGGGGATATTATTAACTGAAAAATCTGACACACCCGGGGGGGCGGGGAGAGAAGGGGGCTGTGGCGCAGACAAGGGGGAGGGAGAAAGGCAGAGGAAAGCGGCTTTACCCCGCCCTCTTGATTTCCATAAAAATCAGGGGAGGCGCCAAGGCTTTCGCGCCAAAAGCCACTTGCTTTTCTTCTTTGCAGACGCTGGGAAGCCCGGGGTGTGCTCCTCCCGCCCTTTGGACCCTCGGGCTTGCACCGGGTGCACTCTGAACCAGCTGTGCAATGCAGCACCCACCCTGTGGGCTGGGCAATTGCTTGGCATTATTTTTGTTTTATTTTTTTTTTGAAGGCCTCTGGGGTACTCTGGGAGGGGGAGCTGAGGCTTCTAACCCAGCCCCCACCTGGCCTGCGTTTGTGTGCAGCCGAGCTCGAGGCCAGAGCCGAGCAAGGCCTTGCAGACTGGTGGCTCGTGTGTGATCGCGGAGGAAGGTTGCGAGGGTGCAAAATGGGAGGGAGAGGACGCGCCCACGTAGGAGGGAGACCGCAGGAGGTTTCTAGTTTCAAATTGAACGGAGAGGGGCGCCCCCCTTGTTTGAAAATAAACAAGTGCGGGCTACGAGGGTGGCGCCGAGGTGGTTTCTTCGGCGGAAGGCGACACCTCGCGGAGACCCAGCAGAAAGCCGAGCCGCACGGCCTGGACGCGGAGCTGGAGTTGGGACCTCTCCGCAACTCCCTCCGTCCGGTGGCACTGTCCGCAAGCCCTAGAGGGCCACTGCAGAAAGGATTCTGAGGGAACAGGACGAGCGTCCCCTGTCCCCACCGCCTCCAAACAGCGTTTCCAAAGCCAGCATTTGGTAAAGTTAAGGTCAGCCGAACCCGGTTCGCGTAAAGAAACTGAGGCGTACACCTCCCCAAATTTTCTGGCTCAAAAAGCTTGACTCCAAGTTGCTGCAAGCATAAAGACAAGCTGCTTTTGTGCCTCAGTTTCCTCACTTGTGAAGTGGCGTTAGCAATGGTTCTTACCTCAATGGGGTGTTTCGAGGAAAAGAGCTTTAAAACAGTGCCCAGCCCATAATAAGTGGGTCCAGAGCAGGGTAGGTCCTTCCGAGGGGAATTTACACCCTTGACCCCCCATTCCAATCAAACCCAGGTAGTTAGTTCACTCCAGTCGAGTTCTCTTAGGAATTTTCGGGGGAGGGAATGGGAGACGTTAAAAATGATTGCTCCAGCCCCAAAATTCCCCTGGAACGACCCCTGTCTCCGGAGAGAGACACAATCACATACACAGAGAGGTGGGAGGTCTGCCCAGTAAACTTTCTCCAGACTTGTTTTGGGGGAGGGGAACCTGGCCCCTAGGGTTGAGGTTGGGAAAGCTCCCATTTCCTCCAAAGTGGAGCTGCCACCCCTCACTCACCTCGGACTGAGGATGAGGACAGGATATCTAGGGTCTGGGGCGACCGTAAAATGCTGGACATTAGCATTTGTGAGGTCTTTCCAGCTGATCCTGGATGCCTACATAATTCTGGGGACCGAGGCAGATTCCCAGGGTTCTAGGATTGAGGGTGAACGGCCCTTTAAGCACCCGTATTATTTCCCTCACATATGTAAAACACATTCCCTTTGACTTCCACCCTTCCCTGCAGCCAATCCCAGGCCTCCCGCTGCATTTGCTCCCAGCATCCCGGCTTTTCCTGCTTGGCCTTTGCCTCCCTTTGTAATTATAAAGCCTCAGTATTTGTTCAATGACCTCTTCTTCCCCACCCCCCACCTCTGAGCTCCTGGAGAGGGACCCGGGACTCTATGATGACTGGAAGATGGAAATAACTAAAAGAATCCAGAACTTTCTTCAGATCCCCAGCAGCAGCCTCAGAAAGGGCACTCAGAGGTGGCTGCCCTAGACAGGGCAATCTGGCAGGAGAACTGCTCCTTACCCACTGTGAAGGTCTTCTCTCTCACCAAAAGGGTGTACCTTTCACCCTTTGTGGTAAAACAAGGTGTGGCCGAAAAGGAGGGGTCAAGGAGACAGGAGACCTGGTTACTGGTTACTGTACATGTCTTTGAGCACAGAATTTATCTCTCCTGGACCTCAATCTCTAATCTGCTTTTAATGCAAGCCAGTAATTATTGAGAAGCCTGAATCTGAAGGTGAGCAGAATGATAAAATCCAACAAATAGTTATTGGTAGCTTTATTTGTAAGTGGAAAGATAAAAAGAGTGCACATGGAGAAAAATTGCTGGCTGTCAGAGTGGCCGAGGTAGTATAGTTCCTGTCCAGCAAGCATGAAGCCCTGAGTTCAAACCCCAGTACCGCCAAAAAAAAGAAAACTTGCCTAATATTGCCTAATGCTCATCCTTGGTCTACTTGTAGAGAAACCTGATAATTCCTCTTACAATGTTGAAATGCTCTCACACTCACACACTGAGGACACACACACACACACACACACACACACACACACGCAACAAATCTTTGGAGGGTCTCAAAGCCAAGGCTTTGTTTAAATCCAAAATCCCAAAGTGGATTAAGTATGGGTAAACCCAGCACCAAGTGTCAGTGGCTCATGCCTGTAATCCTATGTACTCCGAAGACAGAGATCAGGAGGCTTGAAGTTCGAAACCAGCCCAGACAAATAGTTCTCCAGACCCTGGAAGAGTGGTTGACATAGTACAGTTCCTGCCTAGCTAGCAAGAGGCCCTGAGTTCAAGATCTAGTACCACCCCCCCAAAAAAAAAAAAAAACACCAAAGAACAGGACTGAGTTAAGGGATAGCCTCATGGAACCCCCCTCCCCAGGAAGGAATCCCTAAATAAAATGATCAGCTGATTGGTCAGTTAGGCGCAGAATTTGCTTTATAAATAATGAGATTTCGAGGGGAAAAGAAAATTTTAATTTATAATTCCATCTTTACTAAACAAAGCAATAATACAACACACAAATTCAGAAGGGCCCAATCCGTGAATGCAGACCCCCAAGGCCAGCCGTAGGGGCTATGGTGTCTCCTAGCAACTTCACACTGACTTCCTACTCCCAGCCCCACCTCAAAAGATATACATTTTGTTTAATAAATAATTTGAAAACCTCTAGGATCAACTGACTCTTCATTTGAGAAAAAGGAAACGGGTTTCCTGCCTTAATCTTCCCCCCAAATAAATAAAAAGCTGGATTTAAGATTTAATTGGAAAAAAAAAGACTATGAAAGTATAAGACAAAGATGAGCAGGAGAAAAGCCACATTTAATTGCACGTGCACACTTTGGCGCTCACGAAACATGACGGCTCAGAGAAGGGTCAGATCACTGAAGCTTATATAGCATCCTGAGCTGCAGAAAGGAAGAGCAGCTTGAGGTTCTGGGAGTTCTGGGGGGTTGAAGGGAGGAAACTTATGGTGGATAAAGGTTGTCTTCTTATGCAGATAAAAAGTCTCTCAGGTAATAAATGCAGTCTGGAAGCAGTCCCCAGAAGAATAGGTGAGAGCCTGCCTGGGCGTGGTGTCTCAGAGTTAATCTCACCGGGTGATAAGATTTCTGGGGAAGAGATGCAGTTCCTTTTGGAGGTTCATCTCGAGGCAGATAAGGCAGCTCTGAGCCAGCTGCCTACACCTGCTCTTGCCCAATTGCCATCCAAGTTGTTAGCACACTAAAGCATCCTATTTTGTGTGACCTTTCCTGAGTTTCCTCAGAGGCAAAGATTATATTCCTGGTGTACAAAGGCCTCTGCAAATTGAATACAAAAAAACCCAGACAGAGATATTTCGGTCCAGGATATGCATACAAGAAATGCAAATTTTCAACAAACATGAAAAGATCCTCAACTTCACTAGTAGTCAGGGCAATGCAAATTAAATCTAAAAAAAAAAAATGAACAATTTGGGTCCAGTAGATTGGTCCAAAGTGTTGACAAGATTGGCAGGTGGGGGGGTGAGGAACCCTCTCATACACTGTTGGTGGTTTAACCCCAAAAGTAGAAGCAATCACATTCTTCAGAATCTATCCAATAAGGAATACTAAAATAAAAGCTGGGTATGATAGAACATACCTGTAATCTCAGCTCTCAGGAGATAGAGGCAGGAGGATTATAATTTTTGAGGTGAGGGCTGGGCTACCTAGTGAGTTCAAGGCCAGCCTGGGCTATGAGATCTTGTCTGAAAAACAAAAATCATGAAAGAAACACATTAAAACATGTAAACAAAAATATGTGCCACTGCAATGTTCTCAAGAACAAAAGAATTGTAAGCAATCTAAATTACTCGCCATAGAGTAGTATATCCAGATGGTCCTGGACTTACGATGATTCAGCTTGACATTTTTCATCCTTAATGATTGTGCGAAAGACACACACTTTCTGTAGAAATTGTACTTGGGGTTCTGGGCAGACCATGGCAAGCTGCATTTCCTTATCAGCCACATAGTGAGGACAAACAGCAGACACTCTACGGTGTACTGTGTTGCCAAGCTATGTTTGGTAGGTGAGATGATTTAAAAAAAAAAAAATCTTTTAGGGTGTTTTACTTTGGGGGAAGGAGGCAGGGCCTTGTGGGTGCTCAACAGGTGCTCTACCACTGAGCAGCACCCCAGTCAAAGTCTGGTATTTAAAGTACACTTTCTTTTCTTTCTTTTTTCTCCCCCTTTTAAAAAATTGGCATATATTACATTATACATAGCAAGGAGTTTCCTCATGACATTTCTGTCTGTGCAGATAATGTAATTTATCATATTCACCTCCTCTGTTACCTCTTCTCATCCTCCCCTCCAACCTACTCCCCTTTTTGGGGCATGGGTTACTGGGGTTTGAGCTTGGGACCTCACACTTGCTAAGCAAGCACTGTATCACTTGAGCTACTCCACCAGCTCTTTTTTTGTGTTGGGTATTTTCAAGACAGGATCTTGTGAACTACTTCCCTGGGCTGGCTTCAAACCATCATCCTCTTGGTCTCTGCCTCCCATGTAGCCGTTTTTGAGAAAGGGTCTCACTATGTAAC